ATTGGATATTACACTTACTAATCAAACTAATTTAAAAATGCTACTGCGTCTTCATGGCGAAATGGAATCAATAATTCATTCACAATTTGAAGAAATTAAAAAAATTAAGGATACATTAAATAATTTACATAAAATAGATGAAATGTCATCTTGAGCTCAATGGGTTGAGATAAAATTTAAATTAAATATTATATATATATATAACTAACTTATAATTAATTAATTAATTTTTTAATAGCCTTACTAGAAATATATAATTAATAATATTTTTCCCGATTTTAAATATCCTGATGATGAAACAATCAAATCTGTAGCACTGCGTATTTTAAGTTCTAAACAACCTGAACGTATGCGACTTTTAATAAACAATGGAGAATGGGACTCTTTTTTTAAATCGACAATTTGTTCTATAGTATTTTACCTTATATTTTTTACTTTGAAATTATTTAATTATTAAATATATATAACATATAACTATTTTACTACTTAATAGACTAAAGACAAGTTATACAAGCATCGTGGAACTATCGTTAAGAAAATTAAAGACGAACTATTCGAAGTATTTCAAGAAAAACTTAATAAAATTGATTCATCAGCTTCTGCTGATGCTATTAAGGCTTTCAAAGAATCAGCAAATACAAAATGGTGTTTACGCAAACTAAATTTACCAATCAGTACTATGTTATCTCAAACCTATATGGACTTAATTGTTTCAAAAGTTTGGGCAAAAGATCAACCTACTGAAGATGATAAAGTTTTTGCGATTGCTGTGTGTTTTTATATTCTTGACTCAAAATATAAAGGCATGAAATTAGATCTTAAAAAGGTTAATTCCTTGTATCAGTCTCTTAAGGCAAGTTATAAATTATATATAAATAGTTAGATTATTTTAACGTTATATGTTTACAAATACTTATTAAATATGTAATATTTAGTCTAATGCTAAAAGAAGCTAAATTGCCTGGTTGGTTGTTAAATTAATAAAGCCGTTATTAATTTAGACCAAAAAATTAAGTAAAAGTTGCGAGAAGATGTGCTAATTTGCTAGCTTATAACAAGAAATAAATAATTTCGTCCCAAATATATATAAAATAGATGCAGTATATATTACTTTACTTATATATAAGACTACCGAAAGTCCGTAGAATGTACGAAATGTTATAAAAAATTACTGTGAACTTACGCAGTTTTTTACATAGTGATTTCATAAAAAAAAGTTTGTGATGGACATTTATCATATCACGTGTTTTATATGTACACGTAAAAGATAATTGAATGTAATAATTATTTATTACTTAATATTAAGTAAGGGATAAATCATAGGTCATTATTACTTACAAAATTACTTTGCCCATCTCTAGTTATGACGAACAAAAATCAATTTTTTTGCTTTTTTTTAAAAGTTAATTTAATGTGGCGTGATATGACAATCTATTATTATTATTTTTTTTTTTTAATATAAATATGCAGCAAAAACATTGTTTTTGACCTACCCGATCCATTTTTTTTGACCTGATCTATAAAAAAAAAAAAAAAAAAAATACATATCATTTTTGACTTGTGCATGTAGCATAACAATACTGTTTCAGTCTTTTATTAAAA